ACAAGGTGATTGATTTCACTATACTTCTATCCTGTAACAGTTCATCATCAGTTCTTCCATTTTGTATTTAACAAGCTTCCCAACAAGAAACTTTCAATCTACTTGTTTCAACAGGAATACCAAGTTTAACCAGCACATCTGCACGAAAACCAACGATGCCAGCTGCTGAAATACTGTAGCACTGCTTTTTGAACAGCCCATCAGGAAGACACTGCTGGGTGCAGATACCACACAGTGCACAAATTAGTCTGGTTACTTGCTGTGGAAATAGTACTTGTCTGGAGAAATCTAACAGTCTTGTGCTCAAGTTCAGAAGAAACACAAAGCTCACCTCTTTCGCTAACGTGTCCCACAGAAGCCCAGTGAAGTAGTAGATTTGTAAGTCAGAAAGCCAGCAAACAGCCGTAAGAATCGAAGCACTCCAAAAAAGGTACAACTGCTCACTGCTGCAGAGCTGGCGTGCTCATCTGCGAAGTCTAGAAAGAAACAGCTAGAACTGAACTACACACTTCTGCAAATGGGGAACATGAAATTCACGCCTTAGATCCATCAGTATTTGGATAAATTGCTGTTTCAATACCTGCAAACGTTGTCCCTTCATATAAGTAACACAACTAATATGTACATCAGCTGTGGGTTGCAAAAGAAGGGGTTTTTCTAAGCACTAGGTTCCAGGTTTTTGTCTACAGCAACAGACAAAAACTGAACACGTGCTGGAGCAGATGGAATGCGTCAGCTTTCATTTTTCCACTATTTTTGAAACAGCATTTGAAGCCATTTCTCAGTTTACTCTACACTTACCATTAATAAGTGTCACCTTCCACTACTATTTTCTGTATTTTTAGAGACACGTACAGTTTGGACTAAGGTAACCGCGGTGAGGAGTTCAGTATCAGATATGCCATTTTAAGAACAATTTACACTGGGTCAAACTGATATGTTACCTAGGCCAGTACCCTTACTAACAGCAATAGCCAGAGAAGATGCTCTGTTCCTATCATCTTACTTAAGTATGGTTCTGGTAAGGTTTCATTACTTGCCCAGCTTTAGCTCAGGGCTTCCCACATTGAAGAGGTTTTCCTGTTCAGTAATCCTGCGTGGAGTTTTCTTCCGTGGCATTTCCTAGACTGTCCTGAAGCCACGCAAACAAGGCAACATCCAACAGTAACAAGTTTCACAGCTTTAGCAATACATACGTGCAAGACCACCAGCTTTTCTGCTGACCCTCCTGTTCTTGCATTAAGATGAAATTTTACCACAGGGAAGCGCTCAGAAGCTGCGGCTGTATGAGACACCCCAGTACAGAAAGTGTGGGTGGGGCACCACCAGGAGACTACAGCAGCTCTCCAACATCCCCAGCAGAGAAGATCCCAGGTAGTGTCCAAACCAAATCAGGTAGATTAAGTTGCCCTGCAGCATTCAGTATCAGGTAAAAACAAAGTATTTCTATATATAACTTCTAACAGAAGCTGCATTTAATGTACAGATATTCAAGAACTCAAAGTTTTAGTTCTTACTGAAGCAGAGGCAACAGGCTCTAAGTTTGGTCAGACTGACAAAAGAGCTGTTCCACTGAACTCAATACCTTGGAAGCTTCACAGAGAAAAGATGCACAGCTGTGAAACACTAACACACTCACTTGAACTATGGAATACTATTTTTTCCAAAACATTTTGTGAAGTAAAGCAAAAAAGCTACCCGAGGAAAACTAACTGAAAACCAAGTAACCCCTTACCTTGCACATCAAGAAAACCAAGTGGTATTTCATCTTCCAAAAGCAACATAAACTAGAAGGAAAAGAAAGCAAAGGAGTAAGAACTATCAGATATCAAATAACTAAAGATTCCTGAAGCCAGAAGCTAGGTTTCAGCAATCAACTGAACAGCTGTAATGAGCTTTTCACGTGTATTTATCCAGTTCTAATCAGAATTGAAATTTAGTTCATTTCTGAGTCACTCAGCAGTTGAACAGAAAAATTCATCACACGAACTGCAGAATGAGCAGGACCCCACACACCACCTCGCTATGCCTTACCGAGCAAGAACCCCACTCCAGCATCCAGGATGAGTCTTTCAAGCCTTAGAGTACTGATCAGGTAGATGCCTGAAAGAGTTACATTTAGCCATTAATTCTGTACCAGTGTTAAATGTAATCTTACTACTGAAGAGTAACTTTTACAGTCTTACTCCCTCCAAAGTAGCAACTGGGAAACCCCAAACTTCCTTTGCAAAGATCTGGGACCATAATTCAAGCACATAAGGAGTGCAACTTGACATGCTCTCATTATACTGAGCACGTACTGTAAATCGCCCTAGACTGTCAGCTGCACTTTGACGGAAGTTAAACCAGGATATTGAGTTTTGTTTTTTTTTTTTTTTCAA